GTTCACGATGGAAATAAAAGAGAATAAGTCCTTACCTTTTCTGAATGTTCTCATCATTAGAGAAGAGGGTTAGCTAGGAAGATATGTTTATAGGAAGCTCTGCTCTATTTTCTTTCCAACCATAGTTACAAGACTAAGGTTGGAATCTTGAATTCAAGGCTTCTTAAAAGTATGAGGCTAGCGGATAGCAAACATTTGACTAAAGAGTTGCAACGCTGACAAATGTATTCTTGGAAAATAATTATCCTTTGGGCCCTATTGAGAATAATATCTCTCAGCTGAGGACCATTCAGTCAAAGATGGATAGACTGAGACCTTTTCCCATGTCCTAATTTTGCCGTCATGCCGGATAAAACGGTGTTCAAAGTAACCATCAAACTGTTCTCTGTTATGCCAACTTTTAGCGAGAACTATGACCCGTTATCGAGATCCGGTTGCTACAAGATTGTTTGCTCATTTGGTCGATGTTATGTTGATGAGACATGCCGACCTATTCGACACGGATTGGGAGAACACAAAAACGCTTGTAAAGGAAGCTGGGTCCAACGGTCAGAAGTGGCCAAACACATGCTGGAGACTGTACGTGAGGCATAATCGTCTTGAACTAGTGGGTCTGCTGATTATGCTACGTCTGCGTTAAAAGAAAGATAAGAGAGGCTATTGTAATTAATAGCTTATGAAATAGGTTGAATGTGAGGAACCTGATAGAAAGATGAGTATGAAGTACTTATACTGTAATGATATATTGAAAAAGAGAGAGAGTATGAATCACCATCCAAATAAGGCGACTCAACTTGTCTGTTCGTTGATGGTTCTAACTTCACTAAAATTCGTCCAACATGTTAGATGAAGCTCATCAACCAAGCCAGACATATCAGATTACGCAACCACAGTTTTGCCTTTCCTGTGGGGTTAAATGTTAATGACCCTCGATTGAGAGGTTAGAACAAGTGGTTTCGTAACTTGACATGCTTACAAGCTCATAGCTCATTATCTTAACCATAATTGCAGTCTCGGACAGAGCCTTTTCTTTGGTCATTAGTCTTTGATGATCAGACTGATATTAGCCTTTTGATAACTATGATTTAGGACCGGTATTGCGTATAGACGCTAACACACACATACACACTCGCACACACTCGAGTAAAAGTTGCAGGACCAGTATGTAAGAGAATTAGCAAAAGCACTCTATATCCATCTTGGTTTTTATATCTTTTTTGGCTTAATTGAGTCTATGTACAGGTAAGATAGATCAGGATAGTGTTGTTGCCATAGTGTTAACGTGTGATTTTTACAGGAATGAGACCCAGATCTGAGGATGTCCATCGAATGATGGACTAAAGCTCAGCCCGTATTTACTTGAAACCAGGGAGGATTGCTCGTGGACTGCGTCAACGTCGTAAAAAAGCCAAACGGCTTCACCACAACGAGATTCATCCATCCTCATCTGGCGAGATCGACCAACGAATCTCTTCTTCATGCACTTTCATACGAAATAAAAGTCCCCCCAACAATGTCATCTCAAGAGATTTATCGAAACCCAGTTTCTTAATTCGTTCTTTTGATTCATCCTATCTATATTAGTGATTTAAGCTCAGTCTTTTGCTTGTCATAAGTCGCCTAGACCGACTTTAGTTCTGTAATTATATTCAAAAAAGCCTACTAGGGATTCTGACCATTTAGACTAATCGCATGTTCCAATGTAAAATAATGTTAGGATTCCGTATCACGGCCAACTGGAAAATATCAGATCCCTTAATATTTGAACATTGCATTAGGAAGCTGTTCCACAAAGTCAGGCAAAAGAAATCATTTTTAAAGTCAGGAACAATGAAGTATACAAAATTAATATTTAGAAGAAAAGGTGTTATTTTAATAATGGTACTAATAATCTATTTAAATACGATCAGACAAGACCAAGATTAGTTTATAATTTTGGTTTTATAGAATAGAAAAATGATAGAAGTGGGTTGACCTCGTTGTCGCAACTTGGTCTTGTTGTCGTGGAGACTATGTAGAACGCACCTAGTCTGAAGTCGTCTGCCATAGTAGTTGTCATGATTCCCAGCATCAGATAATGGACTTGAAACATTCTCAAACGTTTCGCCGGCATCGTAGTCTGCATCATCACGAGTTTTGCCATTCTCAGCACCAAGCTACA